TACATTAGTGTCTAGTTTGAGAAACAGACGCCTCACAGGTCCTCAACTGGCAGCTTCATTAGATAGTACCCACAAAACACCAGTCTCAACGTCAACAGTGAAGAGGCGACTCCGGGATGCTGACCTTCTAGGCAGAGTTGCAAAGAAAAAGCCATATCTCAGACTGCACATCTTAATCTTTTATTTTTATTGGCCAGTCTGAGATATAACGTTTTCTTTGCAACTCTGCCTAGAAGGTCAGCATCTGAAACATTGTCTACTCTTAAAAAATTTAAACTATACTGAACTAAAATATAAACTCAACATGCAATGATTTTACTAAATTACAGTTCATATGAGGAAATCGATCAATTGAAATAAGTTAGTTAGGCCCTAATCTATGGATTTCACTGAGAATACTGATATGCATCTCTTGGTCACAGATACCTTTAAAAATGGGCCTCACAAATGGGCCTCAGTATCTAGTTATGGTATTTTTGTGCATTCAAATTGCCATCGATAAAATGCAAAGGTGTTCGTTGTCCGTAGCTTATGCCTGCCCATACCATAACCCCACCGCCACCATGGGGCATTCTGTTCACAATGTTGACTTCAGAAAACCGCTCGCCCACACGGAGAAATGATCACTAACAGGAATGTAAACAAATTTGTGCACAGAATTTGAGATAAATTTGCTTTTTATGTGTATATGGAAAATGTCCGGAATCTTTTATTTCAGCTAATGAAACTTTACATGTTGCGTTTATATTTTTGTTCAGTATAGAAGGGTCCAGACACCTTTTTTGTTGTTGTTGAGATTTCACGTTTTTGAGAAACTTACCCCAAACAGCAAGTCACTTCCTAGCCTCGTTGTGTTGTATGGGGGCCCTAAAAAAATAAGTCATTTTAGAAACGGCAAAGCTCTTAGTATAGTGATGCAGGTCTTTAGATGTTGTACACATGAAATTGTGTCATTCAGAACTTTATCCGCAAACGTTATATATTCCATTTTGTTGTGACTCAAATGATACCGCTCCGTCCATTCTACAGGTAACTGCCAAAATAAAGGAAACACTTGAATAAATGAGGCATACAAAGTATATTGAAAGCACAGGGTTCTTCCACACAGGAAGTTCCATACACCTGTAGAATCTATGCCAAGGCGCATTGAAGTTGTTCTGGTGGCTCCTGGTGGTGTTTCCTTTATTTTGACAGTTACCTGTAGCAGCAGGCTACAAAGAGAATGGAACCGCTGGATAGGGGAAATGACTCGACTCGAGCAAAGCGGAAAATAACATTGCAGATAAAGTTCAGAATGACAATTTCATGTCTACAACATCTAAAGACCTGCATCACTATACTGAGAGCTTTGCCGTTTCTAAAAGGACATATTTGGGTGATTTTGGAGCCTTTGTTAGTTTTTTTCGGGGGGCCCCCATGCTACACAACAAGGAAGAGGAAATTATTTGCTGATTGGGGTAAGTTTCTCAAACATGAAATCACAACAAAGGTGTCTGGACCCTTTTATATCATGCCATTTCCATAAAAAAAAGAACTTCTCCTTTAAGCCCATGGTTCTCCCGCTTCCTTTTCAGATCCTGAAAATACATCAAATGAAGTACAACATTAACCAAAACATGAGCAAAGTAGAGTTGTGTGAACTTTCTGTAGCTAGTCTGCCATATACTTTATCAAATTGAAGTGCCAAGGTGAAAACAGTAACGAGTGCAGTTTACCATTACTTTCACCATAACTGGGGTGTATACTCCAAACAGTTGCAAAATGTTGGGTTTTGCTACAAAAACTAGGGTTTCTATTGGACAGTTTCAGCAAACAGGGAGGGACTTACCTGAATTTGTCCAATAGAAACTCTAGTTTTCGTTGCAAAACAGAACATTTTGTAACTGTTTGGAGTAATGATTACACCCCTAAATGCAATGAAACTAGCTAACTAGGCTAACGTTAAATATTAAGTTGTCGCTCAACATCAAGGAACCATGTAGCTAACGTTACTGTTCAAACAGTTATATCTTATAGTCCTAGCTACTCAAGCACATAGGTAGTTAAAGGCACGACAGGCAGTAGGCTGCAAATCTGTTTTCAAAGATGTACGATGAAGAGAGAACAAAAACGATTTAAATTTGAACACCATCGCCGAAGCATCGCTATTCGCCATCTTCCAAGTTGTTCCAGAAAAGTGTGCAGCGAATTCTACTAGATGAAAAGCCGAAATGAGTATAACATCCTGGCATTTACAGCATACTCGATTTCCGAAAATGCACTATAATACGTTCTATTTTATTCGCATACTCAAACAACCTACTATTTAGGACACAGGTATGGGTATTCGGACACAGCTGCTGTCTGAGCCTGTTGCTATCAGACATGATACAGTCTGCCCAACGGTAAGGGAGTGAACAGCTCCTGGCTGGTGTGTGTGGGGTCCTTGATGATGCTGCGGGCCTTCCTCAAACACCATTTCGAGTAGATGTCCTGGATGGGTTGGAGCACCAGTGATGTACTGAGCCGACTTAACCACCCGCTGGAGTGCGTTGTGGTCGTGGACTGCACTTTTTTCGTACCAGGCCATGATGCAACCGGTCAGGATGCTCTAGATGGTTCAGCTGTAATATGTGGAGAGGTCCAGGGGTGGCATGCCGACTTTCTTCAGCCACCTTAGGAAGTAGAGACGCTGTTACGCCCTCTTGACAAGAGTGATGGTGGTGTTGGTCCATGACAAGTGATGTGGATGCCGAGGAACATAAACCTGCTGACTCTACTGCAGTCCTGTTGATGTGGGTCGGGCGTGTTCCCTCCTCTGCTTCCTGAAGTCAACAATCTGCTCCTTTGTTTTGCTGACGTTGAGTGAGAGGTTGTTGTCCTGGCACCATAATGCCAGTTCATTTACCTCCTACCTATAGGCTGACTCGTCATTGTTGGCCTACAACCGTGGTGTCGTCAGCAAACTTTATGATGGAGTTGGTGTCATGCAAAGCCATGCAGTCTTGGGTGAACAGGGAGTACAGCAGAGGGTTAAGGACACACCCCTGGGGGGACCCTGTGTTAAGAGACAGTGTGGAGGTGGTGTTGTTGCCAATCCTCACAGCCTGTGGTCTGCCCCTCAGGAAGTCCAGGATACAGTTGCAGAGGGTGTTCAGACCCAGGTCTCTGAGCTTGGTGTCGAGCTTGGAGGGAACTATGGTGTTTGACCACAGTTCTGCATTAATGAACAGCATTCTTACATAGGTGTTCCTCTTGTCCACGTGTGTTACAGCCGTGTGAATAGCGATGGAAATGGCATCTTCTGTGGATCTGTTGGAGCGGTAGTGGGTACAGTGTACCTGGCAAGCTGGCCTTGATGAGGGCCATGACCAGCCTCTCGACGCACTTCATGATGACCAGGGTGAGTGCGACGGAGTGGTAGTCATTTGGCCATGTCATCTTATTTTTCTAGGACACTGGGACTATGGTGGTCTCTTTGAAGAAGGTGGGGAGTCCTTGCCATATTCTTTTGCGAGTGAGTTGTCGGAACATCAATTCAAGTTTGTATCAATCTTTTTGCATCCCTAATGGATTTGCGGAGCTCGTACCTGCTTGCCTTGTACGCGTCGCACGCCACCGAGTCATCGGGCTTCTTTCTGCTTACAATGACCACATTTACATGTGCACAGTATTCTGGATGGTAGCTCATATCTCGCTTAAGGTCTTATTCGGGATAAGCTGTTTACATGCACCTTTTGATATCCCGCTCACAAGTATACCTGTATCCATGAATAATCAGAATATTCCTCATTTAAGTTCATATGGGTTAAATGGAATAGTAACTGAAAGATGGACACTGACTGTAGGCCTATAACCTCTCACATGTAGTGTAATATAATATCAACTCCTGCAGAATTATGCATTTCTTGCAGTAAAATAATACAACACATTTGTATTTTGTCTCGGGAACAGGAGTGGAGAAATATGATTTTCTTTCAGCATCTCTTGAGAAAATGTGAATGCGCGTGTAATGTTAAAGCAAGCTAGCTAGCGAGCCAAGCAATCCACAGCTAATGTTAGTTGCATAGGCTTTGTCATTTTTGCCATCTTGTCAGTCACTTCAATTTCAAATTATGTGGTTTGTAAGAGTTGGCCTGCTGGCTGTTTTAGAAGACGTTAGCTAACATTAGCATGCTAATGTTAGCTAGCATGCTAAAGTTAGTTAGCTGGTTAGCCAACAAGAAAGCAAGTCAAAGCAGATCCTCCTATAGCCGCGGGAAGTAGGAGTGCTGAGGGTGCTGCAGTACCCCCTGAAAAATCAACAAAAAAAATACTAAAACAATTGTAAAAAGAAAATAAAAACTAATCCTATATTAGTGGACTGATATAGTCGTCTGTAGCATGGGAAATGTACATTTTTCAGCATGCCTGTTTGAACATGTGAACTTTCATGTGCCGTAATAACCAACGTGTATGTCCTAATCTGTAAATATAAATAAAATGTGAAATTACGAAGCTATTGAGACAGAATCTTGCCTAGCCATGATTGGTTGAGATAATCCACGAGAAAGAGTCCTGTTCTGTCACTCAATACTTCTCAGTCAAATGGCACATCCTGCTACCATGGATATTAGAACGATCTATTGGATTTACTCATATTTTCATAATGGACAACATGCAAACTGTAGCTACAGCTTTCAATAATAGTGTTGTCCTGAATACAGCTGCTGGTATCGACACAGCTCTGTCTTCTGTGTCAAAAGCAGTCTGGACTGGTTGAAACAAATGGGAAGGATTATTTTCAAAGTGTTTGTCTGCCATGATTCATCATAATCCATACACTGGTAAATTAAGAGTCTGCAGTTAAAATGCCAAGATAGCTACACGTGCATGCATTATTTTCTCAACTGCATCAAAAAGTTGTTTTCATTGTTAGCTAGCTAGACAGTTTTTCGTACAGGTAACGTTATACTATAGCCAGCTAGCTGAGCTGGCCAGTTTCGTTCTGCTGTTAATGTTAATTGCTGGTGTGCTAAGCCATGCATGACATGGTGATATTCTTTGTCATGTTTGACTAGTTAGCTACTGAAAATAGCCACTGTGGTGCAAATGCTAATCGACTAGCAAGCTAATCAAACCCCATGTTAAGTGATAGGGACACATGCTAAGTTGGCTAGCTAGCCACGATGAAATGATGGCTAAATAGCTAGCTAACTACATTGGATTAACGTTATAGATTTCGAGGTCGTTTATTTAATGATCAACTAGCTAGCTAGCTAGATGAATACCATTTACATCTAGCCAGCTGGTAATTATGAAGTTAAATATTTGCTAAATCTAGCTAGTTATCTTGTACTGCCTGCATTTCCATTCATTGTTTGTCTGGAAGCAGGTTGTGTGTACAGGGCATTTTAGTACAGCTGTAGCAGTCAACAGGCAATAACAAGCTATAGGAGATTAATTAATTCATGTTTTAACCTATTTTTCTGGAAATTGTCTTTCAGCATAAACCTGCTCTCCACCAACAGTATAAATGAACAAGGGTGAACAAGCATCACTTCAGATATTGTCTTTGTACTTTGAGCTTATTGCTTGAACTTGGGGGTCAATGAATGTTATTGCTGGTATGCAAGGTTTTAATGTCTTGTATATTTTTGTCTGCTTTCCTCCTTTACAGCTTAATTTGTCTGGAGCCTGGTGTTGTTGTGGCCAAGGTGCTTTCACGCAGATGGACCCAGGTTTCAGCTGCTGTGCAACGTTGACGTCCTTCCTCCGAGATGTGCAACCATACCCCGGACTGGAAACAAACCGGCAAACATATATTATTGAAAAGGTCAAGACTTTTGCAATGAAAAGGCCATGGACATTACATGTCCTGCAACAAAGGGCAGGACAGAAATATGCTCTCAAGCACGATTCCTTTGATCATATCATGACCAGAACCAAAGTCACTCAAAGGATCTTATGATATAGGCCGATGTGTTTTTCTTAATTGTAGGCTACTACCTTAAGCACTTGAAGTTAATAAATTATTTTAATGTTGAAAGCGTTTCCTTGTTTTTTAAGCACAACCTCACTGCTTTAGCTCGTGGTCACATGTCTTCATGTGAGTTCTTTAAGAGATGGGTGGGTCTAAGAGGGTGTGAACAATGCTAAATGGGCATAAACAAAGCGCACCACTGTAGCTGTTCAATATGAAAGGTTATCTTTATTATACAACAATAGGCTATGTAATACTGTTAATGGTTTGCCTAATGGGGAACTTGGTGAGATAATGTTCAGAGACTCCATTTTCGTAATTTGGTGAAAGTATTCCTTTTATAAATATGTTTCACAAGGATTAATGTAGAGCAAGTGTGAAAATCGCAGGAAAATGTTTGATTGTCTTTTTTCCCCAAAGCAATCAATCATTTTTGGGGGGTGGGGGGGTTCTACTAAGCTATATGGAATTGTTTTAAGAAGATCATACCAAGGATCATTTAGCTATTTGATTTTGAATTTGAACACCCCTTGAAGTATCAAAATATATATACAAAAATGATTTGATGAAAATGTGAATTTGGCCTTACTCCTATTAGCCCATACAAACGCATTGAATAACAGATTCATCACTACATGGAACAACAGATAGAAAAAATATATATATCTAAAGGAAATGTGTTCTGAAGTGTCTGCCCTATATCTGAGAGATATAAGAAATCAGACAACTATATATTTTTGACATATATTTGACCCCTTATTTTTGGCACTAATCTATCTCCATATACTGTGCATTCGGAAGGTATTCAGACCCCTTGACTTTTTCCACATTTTTTTACGTTACAGCCTTATTTTAAAATTGATTAAATAGTTTTTCCCCCTCATCAATCTACACACAATACCCCATAATGACAAAGCAAAACGTATATGTATTAAAAATGTAAAACAGAAATATCACATTTACATAAGTACTCAGACCATTTACTCAGTAGTTTGTTGAAGCACCTTTAGCAGCGATTACAGCCTCGAGTCTTCTTGGGTATGGCGCTACAAGCTTGGCACACCTGTATTTGGGGAGTTTCTCCCATTTTCTCTGCATATCCTCTCAAGCTCTGTCAGGTTGGATGGGGAGCGTTGCTGCACAGCTAATTTTGGGTCTCTTCCGAGATGTTCGATCGTGTTCAAGTCCAGGCTCTGGCTGGGCCACTCAAGCACATTCAGAGACTTGTCCCGAAGCCACTCATGCGTTGTCTTGGCTGTGTGCTTAGGGTCATTGTCCTGTTGGAAGGTGAATCTTCACCCCAGTCTGAGGTCCTGAGCACTCTGGAGCAGGTTTTCATCAAGGATCTCTCTGTACTTTGCTCCATTAATCTTTCCCTCGATCCTGACTAGTCTCCCAGTCCCTGCCGCTGAAAAAACATCCCCAGAGCATGATGCTGCCACCACCATGCTTCACCGTAGGAATGGTGCCAGGTTTCCTCCAGATGTGACGCTTGGCATTCAGGCCAAAGAGTTCAATCTTGGTTTCATCAGACCAGAGAATCTTGTTTCTCATGGTCTGAGAGTCCTTTAGGTGCCTTTTGGCAAATTCCAAGTGGGCTGTCATGTGCCTTTTACTGAGGAGTGGCTTCCGTCTGGCCACTCTACCGTAAAGGCCTGATTGGTGGAGTGTTGCAGAGATGGTTGTCCTTCTGGAAGATTCTCCCATCTCCACAAAGGAACTCTGGACCTCTGTCAGAGTGGCCATCAGGTTCTTGGTCACCTCCCTGATCAAGGGCCTTCTCCCCGATTGCTCAGTTTGGCTGGGTGGCCTGCTTTAGGAAGAGTCTTGCAGTGGAGGCTCCTCAGAGGAGGAAGGGGAGGACCATCCTCCTCAGTGAATTTCATAGAAATAAAAACGGTAAAACATTGAAAAAGTTATCCTTTTAGATAAAACTATACTAAATATGTTTACATGTCACCAAATAATAGATTAAAACACATTGTTTTGCAATGAAGGTCTACAGTAGCCTCAACGGCACTCTGTAGGGTAGCACCACGGTGTTGCCGGAGAACAGCTAGCTTCCGTCCTCCTCTGGGTACATTGACTAAAATACAAAACTTAGGAGGCTCTTGGTTCTCACCCACTTCCATAGACTTATACAGTAATTATGACAACTTCCAGAGGACGTCCTCCAACCTATCAGAGCTCTTGCAGCATGAACTGACATGTTGTCCACCCAATCAAAGGATCAGATAATTAATTTAGTACTGAAAGCAAAAGCCACAGCTAGCTAGCACTGCAGTGCATAACATGTGGTGAGTAGTTGACTCGGAGAGAGAGAGAGACAATAGTTGAACAGTTTTCAACAAATTAATTTCTTCAAAAATGAAGAAGACAATGAAAGTAATTTTTTTCAGTTTCACTTACTTAGCTAGCAAATGCAGCTGGCTAGTTTAGTTACTCAAACACACGGCTCAGAGGGATGCTATGTTAGCTAGCTTGCTATGACTATCCAACACAACACTGGAACTCTTCCAAGTCAAGGTAAGCTTTTGGTTTTATTAATTTATTGCCACCGGGGCCCGCCGGTCTAACTGTAGCGGGTTTACTAACGCATTAGTTCTGTTAGCTATGTTGACTAGGACGTTACTTTAGCTAATATGGGGACAACGATATAGGCTGTTTGTAGCGGTTATGACATGGTTAGCCTTGGGAAGGTTTTTTCGCCTGGTCACATACAGCTGATGTGTTGTTCATTGAAGTCCACAAACGAAGGGAAAAGGTGAGAGGAGGAGAGTGCAAAGAGGCTAGAATGAATACAACATGGCTGCTATGAAAATTAACTCTGTTTATGCGTGATCAGGGTTTTAGCAAAAGTTTCTACAAACCTGTTTTCGCTTTGACATATTGTGTGTAGATTGAGGGGAAAAAATTATTTAATAAATTTTAGAAGAAGGCTGTAATGTAACAAAATGTGGAAAAAGTCAAGGGGTCTGAATACTTTCCGAATGCACTGTATACTTTCATATTTTTTTTTTTACTGGTACCGGGTGACCTTCAGACGAGGCTTGTGAGCATCCTAGAGCAAAAGGACCGACATGTTCGTGAGAGACTCACTTTTCCACAGAGGGGTCATATTAGTGGGTAGCCCAAACTGTTCGGACCCTACAGACAGAAGTTGTCAGATCGGCTGTACCGTCTTCAGACAAGTCCCAAGACGCTTGTGGGGGTCGTAGAGCAAAACTGAGAACACATTTACATTTAAGTAATTTAGCAGACGCTCTTATCCAGAGCGACTTACAGGAGCAATTAGGGTTAAGTGCCTTGCTCAAGGGCACATCGACAGATTTTTCACCTAGTCGGCTCGGGGATTAGAACCAGAGACCTTTCGGTTACTGGCACAACGCTCTTAACCACTAAGCTACCTGCCGCCCCGCAGAGCCAGCGCAGTGTTTGTCAGACCATGAAACATCCCGAAAATCGGTCTTCTCACGAAAACGTCTGTAGCGTCCGAATGGTTTGGCCTACAAACTCTCACCATCGTGTTCGTGAGAGTCATCTTTCCATAATAGTTTGTAGGCCAAACCATTCGGACGCTACAGACGTTTTCGTGAGAAGACCGATTTTCGGGATGTTTCATGGTCTGACAAACACTGCGCTGGCTCTGCGGAAGTGTGACATCTGCTGATGCAGTGGATTAAGACACATCCAATGAAAAAAACATATCTCTAGCTTTAAACTGACGGATTTTGATGGGGATTTTTGTATTATGCTAATTAGATGTATGCGAGGCCGCGGATATCGACTCTAGGGAGTTAAAGCAGCATTACTTCACAATGTTTCCTCCAACTACAGTGTATGAGATGCTATATGGAAGCGCTGAGTCTGGACTTTTATCCAATGTAAAACACAATTTCAAATGTTTTAACATAAGACCGAAAGACGCTGGGGGTGGATGGGTCACTTTTGAATAGCCAATTGTATGCGCGTCTCATTGGCTGAACTGTGAAATCTTTTTTTTAAACAATTTACACCCAAACCACTTATTTCCTTACAGGCCAAGCAGGGTCACAGAGAAAAGCTGCTTTTTAAGATCCTTAATTCTGATTTTTCTATATACTGAACAAAAATATATATGCATCAATTTCAACGATTTTACTGAGTTAAAGTTCATATAAGGAAATCAGTCAATTTAAATAAATAAATTAGGCCCTAATCTATGGATTTCACATGACTGGAAAGGGGCACAGCCATGGGTGGGCCTGGGAGAGCATAGGCCCACCCACTTGGGAGCAAGACCAAGCAATCAGAATTAAATAAAATCCCACAAAAGGGCTTTATTACAGACAGAAATACTCCTCAGTTTCATCAGCTGTCGGGGTGGCTGATCTCAGATGATCCCGCAGGTGAAGAAGCCGGATGTGGAGGTCCTGGGCTGTCGCGGTTACACATGGTCTGCGGTTGTGAGGCCGGTTAGACATACTGCCAAATTCCCTAAAATGAGGTTGGAGGCGGCTTATGGTAGAGAAATGAACATTCAATTCTCTGGCAACAGCTCTGGTGGATATTCCTGCTGTCAGCATGCCAATTCCACACTTCCTCAAAACTTGAGACATCTGTGGCATTGTGTTGTGTGACAAAACTGCACATTTTAAAGTGGCCTTTTATTGTCCCCAGCACCTGACAGGTTCACCTCTGTAATGATCATGCTGTTTAATTCACTTCTTGATATGCCACACCTGTCAGGTGGATGGATTATTTTGGCAAAGGATAAATGCTTACTAACAGTGATGTAAACCAATTTGTTCACAACATTTGAGGGAAACACATTCATGGGATCTTTTATTTCAGCTCATGAAACATGGGACCAACACTTTCCATGTTGCGTTTATATTTTTGTTCAGTATATTTAATTCATATTTTAATTTTGGGGTAATAAACAATCTGGAACACTGGACAGATACTTTTATATTCCTACATTAGAACGTGGCTAACAAGGCTAACCCCTCTTTCTTCCTCTCTGTGTGTGTGTCCAGGTACGACACGGCTAGGGACAACTTCATTGACCTGATGGAGCTGAAGCTGATGATGGAGAAGCTGGGGGCACCTCAGACACACCTGGGCCTGAAGAACATGATCAAGGAGGTGGACGAGGACCTGGACAACAAGCTGAGCTTCAGAGAGGTGAGTCAAGATGAGACTGCACAAGCACTTGCCCATCACACTTCAATTAATACTTGTATGGAAAATGAGTCAGTGGTGCGTGCATGCGCTTTCTCATCCTACAGTTACAAATAACAACTCCATTCCAAATATTAAGTAGCAATTTACCTGTTGGCTCTTGGTCATTGTAGCCTATCCTTCTCCTTTAACTTTTCATTCTGTCATTTTAATTCCATCTTCCATTGATTAGATACAGTGAGCTCCAAAAGTATTGGGACAGTGACAATTTGAATTTGAAATGATACCAGGACTGAGGTTAAAGTGCAGACTGTCATCTTTAATTTGAGGGTATTTTCATCCATATCGGGTGAACCGTTTAGAAATTGCAAAACTTTTTGTACATAGTCCCCCCCCCATTTTAGGGGACTAAAAGTATTGGGACAAATTCACTAATGTGTATTCAAGTAGAATTCTGGAACCGCTCGCGGATCGGGTCTCGGGTATTCGGGTACAGGTGGATCCGTGAAGACCTCTAGTGCGAGCTTTGACATTTTGTTTTTGGTCGTTTTAGGGTTTTTTCTTCTGTGATGTGATCCATTTGGCTGCTTGTAAAACCAAAATAAGAATATGTACAGAACTTGTATGGATTCTGGTTTACTTACAATCCACTCTTCCTCTCCCCCCTTTTCCTCCCTCCCTCCCTCCAGTTCCTCTTGATCTTCAGGAAGTCAGCAGCAGGGGAGCTAGCGGAGGACAGCGGTCTCAGTGTTCTGGCTCGGCTCTCAGAGATCGACGTGTCCACTGAGGGAGTGAAGGGAGCCAAGACCTTCTTTGAAGCCAAAGTGAGTTCAAGTTCTGTTCCTCCGTGTCAAAGGTTGGTTGCCACCCTCAGCACAAGCATGGGATCTAATCCCGTTCTAACGGCTCTTCTACAAGGTTTCCCCTCGATCTGCCTCTTCATTCATGTCTATCATTTTCAATAAACAAGAAAAAATACAACAATGAATTGACTTGATACATTAGTTGAGTAGGGATGTTTGAAGGTCTATAAAATTAACATCATTAAATGAAGGGTAGACAAAACCATAAACAACAATTCATTAGTTTAAATAAATTATTGTTGATAACCTCCTGGTACGACTCAAATTTGCCTCTCGCTCTCCCTTCGACAGGTGGCGGCCGTCAACGCGGGCAGCCAATTTGAGGCGGAGATCCGGCATGAGCAGGAGGAGAAGAAGAAGCAGGCAGAGGAGAAGAAGCAGAGGCAAGCTGCCTTCAAGAACATCCAGTCGGCCTTCAAATGACCTCTTCCTCAGCCCCCTTACTGATCCACCTCCATCTGTCCGTCCGTCCCCTTACTGATCCACCTCCATCTGTCCGTCCGTCCCCTTACTGATCCACCTCCATCTGTCCGTCCGTCCCCTTACTGATCCACCTCCATCTGTCCGTCCGTCCCCTTACTGATCCACCTCCATCTGTCCGTCCGTCCCCTTACTGATCCACCTCCATCTGTCCGTCCGTCCCCTTACTGATCCACCTCCATCTGTCCGTCCGTCCCCTTACTGATCCACCTCCATCTGTCCGTCCGTCCCCTTACTGATCCACCTCCATCTGTCCGTCCGTCCCCTTACTGATCCACCTCCATCTGTCCGTCCGTCCCCTTACTGATCCACCTCCATCTGTCCGTCCGTTTATTAGATGTTCATTCACCTTTTCCAAACGTACATTGTCGAAGTTGCTCCAAACGTCAAATTTCGAAGTGTTTTTGTTGCTCCTGCTGCTCTGTATTTTTCTATATCTCCAAACATCAAATTTCGAAGTCAAAGGTTAAGTTTAGGCATTCATTCCAAATGGTTAAGGTAATGGTTGAGGTTTGAGATGGGGTTAAAATAAAAAGCCAGCCTGGGATCGAACACAACCTTCTGATTCAGTCATGGGATTACGCCCATCCACAACGGCCTAGCAAAACCCAAGCCTACTTTATTGTAAAGGCGCTCACTGTTTCCCCTAGTGGCCAGTTCTGATAGGCATTTCCCGACGTCCTCAGGACATGGATAGACGTCCAATTTGGACATCAATCTTGAACGACTTGGCTGCTGTGATACAATGGATTGGATACATGCTGGAGAAATGTGCCCTGTCAGATAATAGATCTGTGATGCAAGTCGTGGTCAAAAGTTTTGAGAATGACACAAGTTTATGAAAAATGTATGCACTCAATAACTGTATGTCGCTCTGGATAAGAGCGTCTGCTAAATGACTAAAATGTCAAATGTAAATATATTGGTCTTCACAAAGTTTTCTGCTTCAGTGTTTTTAGATATTTTTATCAGATGTTACTATGGTATACTGAAGTATAATTACAAGCATTCCATAAGTGTCAAAGGCTTTTATTGACAATTACATTAAGTTTATGCAAAGAGTCAATATTTGCAGTGTTGACCCTTCTTTTTCAAGACCTTTGCAATCCGCCCTGGCATGCTGTCAATTAACATCTGGGCCACATCCTGACTGATGGCAGCCCATTCTTGCATAATCAATGCTTGGAGTTTGTTAGAATTTGTGGGTTTTTGTTTGTCCAACCGCCTCTTGAGGATTGACCACAACTTCTCAATGGGATTAAGGTCTGGGGAGTTTCCTGGCCATGGACCCAAAATGTCGATGTTTTGTTCCCCGAGCCACTTAGTTATCAATTTTGCCTTATTGCAAGGTGCTCCAACATGCTGGAAAATGCATTGTTCGTCACCAAACTGTTCTTGGATGGTTGGGAGAAGTTGCTCTCGGAGGATGTGTTGGTACCATTCTTTATTCATGGCTGTGTTCTTAGGCAAAATTGTGAGTGAGCCCACTCCCTTGGCTGAGAAGCAACCCCACATATGAATGGTCTCAGGATGCTTTACAGTTGGCATGACACAGGACTGATGGTAGCGCTCACCTTGTCTTCTCCGGACAAGGTGTTTTCCGGATGCCCCAAACAATCGGAAAAGGGATTCATCAGAGAAAATGACTTTACCCCAGTCCTCAACAGTCCGATCCCTGTACCTTTTGCAGAATATATTTTTGCAGTCTGTCCCTGATGAATTTCCTGGAGAGAAGTGGCTTCCTCGCTGCCCTTCTTGATACCAGGCCATCCTCCAAAAGTATTCGCCTCACTGTGTGTGCAGATGCACTCACACCTGCCTGCTGCCATTCCTGAGCAAGCTCTGCACTGGTGGTGCCCCGATCCCGCAACTGAATCAACTTTAGGAGACGGTCGTGGCGCTTGCTGGACTTTCTTGGGCGCCCTGATGCCTTCTTCACAACAATTGAACCTCTCTCCTTGAAGTTTTTGATGATCCGATAAATGGTTGATTTAGGTGCAATCTTACTAGCAGTAATATCCTTGCCTGTGAAGCCCTTTTTGTGCAAAGCAATGATGACGGCACGTTTCCTTGCAGGTAACCATGGTTAACAGAGGAAGAACAATGATTTCATGCACCACCCACCTTTTTAAAGCTTCCAGTCTGTTATTCCAACTCAATCAGCATGACTGAGTGATCTCCAGCCTTGTCCTCGTCAACACTCTCACCTGTGTTAACGAGAGAATCACTGACATGATGTCAGCTGGTCCTTTTGTGGCAGGGCTGAAATGCAGTGGAAATGTTTTTTGGGGATTAAGTTCATTTTCATGGCAAATAGGGACTTTGCAATTAATTGCAATTCATCTGATCACTCTTCCAAACATTCTGGAGTATATGCAAATTGCCATCATAAAAACTGAGGCAGCAGACTTTGTGAAAATTTATATTTGTGTCATTCTCAACTTTTGACCATGACTGTATCTCCCGTAGATAAGAATTCTTATTTCATGACTTTACGGTTATGTGCCACTAGCATAGCTGTTGATTTTAGCTCTGTGTTTTCTGTTGTGACTAAGGGAATGTGAATGAAAATAGGAATGCATTTTTAGTAATATGATGTTGTGAACAACTAGGATTGCATTTTAACTTAACTTAATTAAATTATTTACTTACCGGTGATTCCAGTGAATCTGAATTGTGAACGTAAGTTCAAAAGAGGTCTTATCCAATCCATTGTATTACTTGGGACCAGTGACGATTGCGCACTATACATGATGTCATTTCCTGTAGGAAGCGCTTTCTGAAAGGCACAAGTTTCACTGTACCCTGGATGCTTGGAGAGGGAAAAAAACAGCTAGCCAGAGCTGCATTCCCTATGCTGTGAGAGAAAATACATCTGTGCACACTTCTTTCCAGACACTCGATCTCATTTTAACGTAGAAGAGTAGTTCAATGCCTAAAATAGCTCTATTTTTAATGTTTGTCGTGGTGGGTGTTGAGAAGGGTTTGGTTTTGGGGGATGGATTTCTTTGCATGCGTGGTGGTGGTCATTTTGAGCAGTGTGTTTTGCATGGGCACTTAAGTTCAAGTTCTGACAATCTTATTAACCCACTAAAATGGTTCCCTGGCTTGAGCCTTGACAGCCCCCTGGTACCAACCAGTTCAACTACTGACTGACCATGTGCTACTTTTAATCCTCCCTACCAGATTCAATTGGACTTCTAGAGTGATTGCATAATGTCTGCTAGTTTGGCCCAGGCTTTCACAAAGCAAGTATAGTGAATGGCTATCTATCATTGTTTTTTAACATAGTTGGAGATCTGCACAATTTGCACTAATTTGGCCTTTTCAAAGAGTTGATTAAAACAGAGCTTTGATATGCTTCAATTTAACCTTGTTTAATGCAAACACGGCTGTAGCTTTATTAAATGTATAGACTAAATCCCAGTCATTTATTCATACATTTATTGACAGGGGTAGAAAGTAGACTATTTTGTCATATCATTCATGAGAGCCCCTATCCAGAAAATGTTATGCATTTTAACAGTACAACTGAGAGGTTGTGTATAAAGATTATAATATTTTTTCATGATAATATATATATTTTTTAATTCTTTTAGTTTTGTATGGTGTGTGATTTTGTGAAATGTTCTGCATGTGGATGTTGCCCACAAGCGGGTCTCCTGGTAAAAAAAGTATTATAATAATATCCACTGGTTACTCCACTTCCTGGTGATGGGTGGTTGGCCAGTTGTAATTCTGTGTGATAATATATATATATATATATATATTGCAATGCAGAGACTAGTTTGTGAACAGTGATTCTGTGTCAAATGTCTTCAGATGTTGTCAATAGTGGAAACCTGTAGATTTCTTCCACTGTCCTCTGGACATGCAGTTTTGCCTATATGCACTGTGTCCTATTCTGTCCTGTGAAAGCTAGACTACCGATGTGATTCCATGATGCATTCTCACACTACGTCACTCCTCCTCTTTTGATGTACCTTTACCCTGTTCTGACTGAGGGAAAGAACGGAGTGCAATGAACCTGGTCCCTGATCAGTATTAGCTGTATTACCTTCACAATAGGAGTTGGCTAATACAGTGTTTCCCAACCCTGATCCTCGACTACCCCCAACAGTACAAATGTTTTATTGTAACCCTGGACAACCACACCTGATTCAACTTGACAACTAATCATCAAGCCCTCAATGAGTTGAATGAGGTGTGTTTGTTAAAGGATACGACTAAACTGTGTACTGTTGGGGAGTACTCGAGGACCAGGGTTGGGAAACACTGGGCTAATACACTTCAAACAGATCTGGGACCAGTCCAGGGTGCAATGTGAGAGAACAGAGAGAGGGTTTCGAGTGCACACAAACCAATTACTATGTGAAGGGACAAAGCCATCTATCATGTGACACCATTTATTCCTATGTGAAGACTCAGCATTGAAGCCAAATGAAGTCAGTTAAGATGGCGTTTCATGGAGCGCTATACTCCAGGAAGTGACGTTGCAGGATAGCTCAGGGCTGCCCCCTCTCATTGAGTAACTCCAGTTGAAGGCCAACCAGGGTACTGCAGGCTACCATTAGCAACTAACCTTAACTACTTCTGTGTGCGATTTTAAAAATATATAATTGGTTCAAGGACATACATCTTGTGTATTGGAAGCAATTATTGGTACTATGATTGTCTTATAATTTTTTGTAAGATTTCCATTCACTATAATGGGGGGATCCTGTTTTCTGCAAACAATGCCTGCAGTACCGTGGTCGGCCTTGAACTTATGTGGCTTAAATGAGAGGAAACAGTCGTTCTCCCCGGCACAAAACACACAGTGGAGACCATGCTTGTTTCTGTCATTCCTCTACATTTTTATTTTCTCCCACATCTTGATTTATTCTATGTTGTGTTGTTCATCATTTCCAGGGGTCCAGGGAAATTGTGCCAAAAAAGTTTTG